CCCAGTTTTCTCTGGGATAATCCAAATTTTCTCCAGGATTATCTTGAAATTTCCTGTTATCCATTAGATCCTCTCTGGGCTGGAAGAAGTTTTTCCAACCCCAAACACACCCCGGGGTTTTCCCAGGGTTACCCCAGGATTATTCCAGTTTTCCCTCCCAAAATTTCCTCACATTTATCCTGAATTTTCCTTGTGATTATCCCAGTTTTCTCCAGGATTCCCCAAATTTCCCTGCTAGCCTTTACGTTCTGTCAGGCCTCAAATTTGGGGTTCAGCCCCCCCAAACCCTCCTTTGGGGCTCTTAACAGAATTATGCAGGAATTATCTCAAATTTTCCCCATAATTCCCCATTTTTTTCCTGGGATTATCCCCTAATTTCCCATTCACCCTTCAGTCCCAACAGGCCTCAGAAAAGGGAGTTCAGCCTCCTCCATTCCCAGTTTTGGGGTCTTCCCATTTTGCCATGGGTTTATCCAATTTTCCACAGGATTATCCCAAAGTTGCTGCACAATTCCCTTGAATTTTCCCATTTGACCTTAAATCCTCATTGGGCTGAAAGAAGAGGGTTCAACCCCCTCTGTTCCACTTTGGGGTCTTCCCCAAAGACTTATTCTGGGATCATAGCAAATTTCCCCTGACATCATCCCCAAAGTTTCCCCTGATTTTCCCAAACTTCCCTCAAGATCACCCCAAAATTTCCCCAGATTATCCCAAATTTCCCTCAAGATTTTGCCAAATTTCCCTCAAGATCATTCCAGAGTTTCCCCAGGATTATCCCAAATTTCCCTTGAGATCATCCCAGAGTTTCCCCAGGATTATCCCAAACTTGCCTCGAGATTATCCCAAAATTTCCCCAGATCATCCCAGAGTTTCCCCAGGATTATCCCAAACTTCCCTCGAGATCACCCCAGAGTTTCCCCCAGGATTATCCCAAACTTCCCTCGAGATCACCCCAGAGTTTCCCCGGATCATCCCGAGCCCCCCCTCAGGGCCCAGACGCAGGGGGCTGCTGCCCCGCCCCCCTCCAGGGTGCCCCCGGGCTGTGGGGCTGATCCTGGGGGTCCCTCCCTGTTCCAGGCGAGTCTCCTGGCCTGCGAGGGGCTCTCGGGCGTCTGCCTCGTCCCCACCGTCGCCAGCAAGAAGATGATGCCCAAATCCGGCGGGAAACAGGACGGGAACCGGGAACGGGGCTCCAGCCCCGACCTCCTGGTACGGAGTGGGACGCCCTGGCTGGGATCTGGCACCTTCCTCTGGGGGATCCCGCCTTGAACTGGGGGATTTCGCCCTTTAATTTGGGGGTTTATGCCTTTAGTTTGGCTTTTCCCACCTTTGATTTGGGGGTTTCCTGCTTTAATTTGGAGTTTTTCACCTTTAATTTGGGTATTGCTGCACATAATTTGGCTGTTTCCACCTTTAATTTGCTTTTTCTACATTTAATTTGGTTTTTTCCGGCTTTTTTTTTTTGGGGTGTTTCCAACTAAATTTTTTTTCTGCTTTAATTTGGGCTATTCTGCCCCAAATTTGGCATTTTCCGCCTTTAATTTGCCTCTTCCTCCTTGAATTTGAATTTTTTCTCCTTGAATTTGAGGTTTTCTCCCTTTAGTCATCCTTTGCTGTATTTTATTTGACCTTTTCCACTTCTAATTTGGCTTTTTCCTGCCTTTATTTGGCTTTTTCCTGCTTTAGTTTTCCTGCTTTAGTTTCATTTTCCCACTTCTCCTTTGACCTTTTTCTGCTTTAATTGAATTTTTCATCCTTTCGTTTCCCATTTCCGGCCCTTACTTGATTTTCCTTTCTTCACTCACCCTTTGCTTTCTTTTATTGGACTTTTCCTCCTTCATTTGGATTTTTCCTCTTTTATTTGGTCTTTTCCTGCCTCGGATTTTCCTGTTCTAATTCCATTGTTTCCCCTTCAATTCCATTATCCCCCAACCTCCCCATTCCCTGCTCATCCTGAAACCCCCTCCCCAATTTCCTGCCCCGATTTACCCTCCCTAATCCCCCCACCCCAATTCCTGTCCCCCAATTCCTGCTTTCCCAATCCCTCCTCCCCAATTCCTGCCCCCTTCCCAATCCCTCCCAATTCCTGGTCCCTCAATCTCCCTTTCCCAAATGCCCCCCAATTCCTTCCCCCTTCCCAAATCACCCCCCCTTTCCCCCATCCCAATTCTTGCCCCCTACTCACCCCTTCCCAAACCCCTCTCCACCAATCCCTGGTCCCACAATCCCCTCTTCCCACTCCCCCCATTCCAATTCCTGCCCCCTTCCCAACCCCCACCCCAATTCCTGCCCCCCCAGTCCCTCCGCCAGGACCCCGACAAGCCCCGCGCCCGCAAGGACGATGATGCTCCTGAGGCCTCCAACCCCAAGAAATCCATGAAAAAGGCAGGTCCCCTCCCCCAGCAGGGGGTCCCCCCTCGATTTTGGGGTCTGGGGGGGGTCGGGGGCCATCTCGGGGGCCGCTGACACCCCCTCGCCCCCCCGGCAGCGCCGCAAGCGGGTTCCCGGCGCCGAGGGACCCCCGAGCTCCTCCCGCCGAGGATCCCAGGTTTGCCGCCGCGCCGCACGAGGAGGAGGAGGAGGAAGACAATCTCCCAAACTCCGGCAGGCGCAGGACGGCCGGGGGGGGGGATTTGGGGGGGCTGCTGGGGGTCCCCCCGGCTCTGAACCCCCATATCCCCCCCATTTCAGATGGTGGTGATTGAGCAAAACGGCTCCTTCCAGCTCAAGAACTTCATCTGCGACCACTGTTTTGGCGCCTTCCGGAGCAGCTACCACCTCAAACGGCACATCCTCATCCACACCGGTAATGAGCGGCCCCGCCCCCTCCCCGCACCGGTAATGAGCCCTCGTTAATGAACAGCCCCCCGCCCCCTCCCTCGCTAATTGCCGGCCGGAATTCCAGGGGAGAAGCCGTTCGAGTGCGACATGTGCGACATGCGCTTCATCCAGAAGTACCACCTGGAGCGGCACAAGCGCGTGCACAGCGGGGAGAAGCCCTACCAGTGCGAGCGCTGCATGCAGGTATTCCCGGCAGAATTCCCGCGGGAATGGGCGGGGCACCCCGCCATTCACAGCGCCACCCCCAGAAGTGACCCCGCCTTGTCCCCGCAGAGCTTCTCCCGCACGGACCGGCTGCTCCGACACAAGCGCATGTGCCAAGGCTGCCAGACCAAGACCCCGCCCGACTCCCAGCTCCTGCTGTGAAAATCTGGGAATACCGGGAAGTTCAGGGGGTGCGGGAGGGGGGTGTTTCTTCCTGCACCCCCCCACATCACCATGCTCTGCCTCACCTGGATTTCTCACCCCTCTAAGGATGGGGAAGAACCCGAGCGCTGCCAGCATGAAAAAACTCGGATCGTTCCTGCCCTCTGGCCTAAAAACTTGGATTATGATCCCAAAAATCCTCCTGGAATCTTCAAGTGGCCCCCCCCACCATCGTTATACCCCTGAATCCACCCCTCCCCCTCTTAGGAAAGACTGGGAACCCCCAAACTGCCTGAAATCCCGGCGGATCCGGGATACCTGTGCACAGGTAGGAGGGTCCCGCTGGGAACAGCAGCATCAATCCCTCTCTTCTTTGGGAAAAGGAGGAAAACTGAAGATGCTGGGGGATGCCTCAGCCTGGGGGGGGGGGTGCACCCCCTGTTTTTTGGTTAGTTTTGGAAAATAGGGAAAAAAAGGAATTTGGGGGCCCCCTTGAGCGGCGCATCCTGTGGGACACTCAGCAGCACTTCCCATTTCCTCTGGAACTCCTTCAGATTTTGGGGGGTTTCTCCTACTTCCGCATAGTTTTGGGGTGCTGCCTATGTCCCCCCATGCTGGGAGGTCTGCCCCCTAGTGGGGGTGAGAAAGGGGGGGCGAGGGGCCCCCCGGATCAGGGGTGAGGTGGAGGGGGCAGGAGCAGCTCCCAAAGACCACGAGGTGGGCCCCTGCTCTTCCCCCCATTTTGGGGGGGTCCCTGTCCCCCCATCACAGACTGCTCCAAGGGGCAAGAGAGATGAGTTTGCCCCCCCATTTTTGTGCCCTGAACCCTCTTTCTGGGCCTGTAGGAGTTTCAGGAGGGGCCCAAATTTTGGGGACCTCCCCCAATGACACTTCAAGAAGGACTTTGGCTCTGCTGAGCCCATTCCCCCAAATTTGTGGGGCCCTGGGGGGGCGGGGCAGTTTGGGGGCTCTGGCAGGGGTTGGGGTGCTGGGGGAGGTTGGGGGATTCTGTTGGGGGGAGGGGGAGCTCCAGGGCCCCCCACCGGAAAGGGCTCCCAGCCCCCTCACACCCCCC